TATTACAGTCTTAGATATTTGCTTTATAAAACAGGTATGAATGAAACCTAAGGTATTTGCAAACTCTTTTTATGATATTTTTCAGTGTCCTACAGTTTCTTTTTCTAACATTTTTCATGTGACCAAAGAACTCAGAAGATCACACGACATTTGGAAAACTAGGTAAACAATAATCAGACATTTATATCACTAATTGTTTACTGAGCAGTGAACATCACTGCATCAAGAGGCTGCAGCATTTTAGTTTTTCTTGGTGTGTGATTTAGAAGTCTCCCATTGCTTATAGAAAGCAACCATGGTTAGCAATAGCCACACCAAATTTTTCCTGTCTTACAAAATGATTTCACAGGACAGCGTGTGCTGGCTGTCATTTGTCACTGATGAAATGGGGAAGGTTCTGTCCCCCAGCCCTGCAGTCATCACAAAGTATAATGCATCTGCACACTGAAGTCTCTCATCATAATCACCCCAAAACTGATTCAGCACAAACTATTTAGGTTAACATTAGCAAGTCTCAGTAGCATTTTTCTTGAGCCTAGTTCACTTTGACTGAATCAAAGTAAGAAATTATTATTTAAGCATTTGTGCAGGTAGAGATACCAGGATGCTAAAGGCATTAACCACCTACAGGAGGGGGTGATGAGTGGTGGAAAGTTCACACACAGCCAGAACAGTGAAGCAGCAGCTTCAAAGTGAATATTAAACCCTGCATTCATAATCTAGGCAAATCATTACCATCAATAAAGTAAATACTGGCATAGGATCATCTTTGACTACTTTACACTTAATTCAGTATAAAGCTCCACGACAAACTTGACCCTTAAAATAAATATGAAGCATGGAGTAAATTGCCATGCAGATAGATTAATTTTCCTGCATATTGACTGTAACAAATTTAGCAGATCTTACTGCTAACAGCTCTCCATTGTATCCTCATCATTACTGCAAACTTTGCATCTAATGTTGCTCCTCTGTACTATTCTCCTAAGCTGCCTGCAATTATCTGATCAACGAACTGGTTTGGATTTCGCAGAGGAGCCAGTCTCACATTTACGTTACCTTATTGTGCCTTCATTTTGCTTGGATCTAGTGGGGTTTTTTGTTTGGTTAGGGTTTTTTTTCGTAAATAAAGACTGTTGATTGCAAAACATTTTGTTCACAGCATAACAGGTTTAGCAAAATTTCTTGAGCTGTAGAAGGGGCTCTACCTGGACTGCTGGGGCATGAAAGACCCTTAAAGCTCCACATTCTCAGCTAAAGCAGCACCTTGTATTGCAGGACTCCAGGGTTTGTGACTGATCCCATGACTTGGTGGAACAACCCTGAGGCTGTGGTGCAAGGGATCCCTGGCTGCCCAGATCTCTGCTATGAAAGCCCAAATTGCTAACATGGTTTGGGTTTCAACACCCTCCCTGGTACTACAGCCAGGGCTGAAGTGTCACAGATTCCACTGCTGCAGACCCAGAACATGGAACCAGGAAACTGTGGAAGAACTGCCCAGGGAAGGTGTTTCTAATGAGGTTAATAACAGAGAAGCTGCCCCAGGGATTCAGCAGCAGTATACCTCAGACATTTGTAGAAACTCATTACTGATTTATCATTAGTCAAGACACACTTCCTGCCAGGGAAGGCTTTTAATATTTGCAGTTTTACTATGGCAGAAGGAAAGCCATAGTAACCTATTCTGATCACTTTAGAATCGGATGTATTTGTGGTAAAAAATGGAAGCAGCCTTTAAGAGTTAACTCAACGTTTAAACCAGGAACAAATAATTACAGGGTCATGGAACACAGTGTCCACAGTGGTATGTGAAGATAGCTGCATCTCAATACAAAACACACTCTAGGAATGAAATAATCAATCAAGAATCTTTACAGACAAAACTACTCAGAGTTCTTGTAGCCCAAATTCTCTTTTCAAGCAGCATCAGTCAATAAATGTCTTTGTGAATCAAACTATAGGTCTGTAAATATCAGCAATGTTTTACATATATTTTAGTTACAGGTCCTAGTTTAATAGCTTCTTTAATAGCATACTTAAAAACACAAAAAGAGCCAAAAACCCGCCCCTAAAAACCAGATGCTTTTCCCTCCAAAAACCACGTTTAACACATTGATAAAATACACGAATAGGAGCATTACCTTTGACAGAGCAGTGCTGCTGCTCATATAAGAATAGTAATAAAGTTTCCCTGCAGGTGCTAGACTGATGTAAAGTAGCTCCAGAAACGTATCAATATGGCTGGTTATCAAAGACAGTTCTCTCTGAAAAACACAAAAATACAGATGAAGAAGAGTGCTCCTAATTTGTTTTGTTACAAAATAATTCTGTTTTAGGGAGAAATAGAATTACATCGCATGCAATCATCTTTCCAGTCCTCCTTGAACAGCAGCTTCATCAACTGAGCTGATGTGTCAAGCCAGCTGAATGGTTACAGGGGAGCTAGTTAATGTCGGTGGTGAGGAAACCCCCTGGAAAACATACCTTTGTGAAGAACTGGCATTTTGGCAGTGCTTCCTCATCATGCATAAGCCAAAAGTGGTAGTTGGTTAACAGCTTCTGAGAAGTAATGCGGCACAAACTCTGGTCCTTTTGCATACCTATATGGATTTCCTTTTATTATTTGGGACTGGGAACTAGGAGAGCGACACAAAATGCTGAGTGACAAAGGAGTTGCTTTTTACTGTCCGCAGTTGTTTAGCAACATCATCATTCTTAGCATAATTTGCACCTTGTTTTTCCCCACACTTTTGCTCTGTAAGTCCATAATGGAACATTTTCCATTTCAGTACTAAAGAAATCAATTTCCTCTCAGTTTTGTGAGCCATATACTCCATAGGAACTATATTTCTGGGCACTTGGTTGTATATCTGCTGAATCCAAGACATAACAGCACTGACTGCATGCATTTCTCACTTGTCACAGGAACAAGTCTCTCTGTAACAAATGCTACCAGCTGCTGAGTTGCAGGGTATATTATGGCCCACCTACTGGGCTGAGACTCTTGGAAGGGCTGTAAAATTCTGAGGGCAGGAGTTACAGCTCAGGCCTCAGCACACACCTGACTTCAATCTTACAGTCATGGCACAAGGACACCACCAGAAGGTCATTTTATTTTTTTCTTAAGCAACAATGTCAGCAGTGTAGGTAGGTTTCAACTCCCAAGTGAGAACTTACCATAAGTGGGTACAAAACTAGGAATAGTCAGGGCAGCCTTGATAGTGAAAAAGTTTAAACATTAAAAAAAAAAACAAAACAAAACAAAAAAGCCTAAACAAGAATGCAGAAAAGATTGCAGTCATATTGGCCAATGGGCATGTGAAAATATAATCTGGTTTCTGAAATTTTAAATGATTGGCACCACTTAGCTCCAGCAGGGAAACTCTAAGGATGATTTTTATTTAGTGATAGTATGTTGCACAATAGAAGCCAGTTATATTCCTCAGGCATGCAAATTCTGATTGCCTAGACATACACTATCTCAGTCTCTGACCTCCTGTGACTATTATACTGCTCTTTCCTCAGGCGAATTGCTCAAGTCAAACTATTAAGGAGACTTCTAAAGACATAAGTAGCATAGTAGACACGCACAGGTACACGCTCTTCTATACAAATGCTTTATTAAAAATGCTCCTAGGATGGCCTGTAACAAAACTATACCCACGTAGAGTTACAAAAAAAAAAAAATCAAGACAAAATGGTATCTATTACAACGCATTAATATGTTATCTGTCATTCCAAAAGTTTGCTCAGTGCCCAGATGTGAACAGTTAAATTTGCTGTCTATGTATGCTACAAGCTATCCAGTTTGAGACACTACCCTACATAAATGTGGAACTTGATTCAAGTCTCGGTTGAAAAAAACTTCATATATATTTTGAAATTTTGTTTGTGGCTACAGTAGAGTGTAGGAAAAAGAAGAATTATCTCTAATATTTACACAAGGACAAACAGCACAGACTTTTACAAAATCAAAAAAAAATACAGTACAGGGACTTTTTACAGTATCTGCAATTGATAATTTGAAAGATCCAGCCTTTGGAATTGAAACTCAGAGACAGCTGAACTTTCAATCTCCCTTTTCTTTGCTGTCCCCCTCCCTGCTCCCTCAATATTCAAATTCTTTACTCAGTAGAAATGATTAATGTAGAATGTTGAGATAGAACAAATGTGTTTTCTTCTTAGAAAACATAAATATTAACTATATATATATTCAAGACCAAGCCTGTTTTCCTTATGTGAATAGATTTGCATGTGTAAGAAAAAAAAAAACCAACCCTATAATTAGAATTGAAAATTGAAAACATTAAGATCCAACTGCACCAGCAGAAGACAATTCCATTGTATTTTGTTATGCTTCCCCTCAGTTTCAAAATGACTGTTGTGTCCACGATGATGTTAGCTTGCTTCACAGCCATATCCCCCTTGGGGTTGAAAACAGATCAAAATTTAGACAAAGTATGAGGGAAAACCAAAGACAGCACTCACCATTCAAGTGTTGGTTGTTACTCACTCTACAGTAGTTTTTATTATAGATCCTTCAGTGTATCAGAATAGCTTCAGCCAAATAAGAACTTGTTAAGCATGACTAGTACAGGCAGCCTATATCAGCAGG